TAGAGGGTTCGCAGTTGAGGCGGTTCACGCGGTTCCTGCCGTACTTGACGTCGAAAAGACGGGCCCGTTATCGAAGCAACTACATGGGGACCTGTGAGAACTCGCGGCAATTGTCAAGAGTCATATGCACTTCTGATATGTTCCGACGATGTATTATTAACACATGTTTTAATCTAATAATCCAAGAGCTAGCTGACATTTCACAGTCAGCTAAGTGCACTAAGGTGCCAAGTTTTTGTCAAACTTTTTTTTCAGAATTTCCTATGTGATAGATATGTAGACAACTATTTGAATTAAATTAATGCTACAACAGTTATAATATATATTTGCAGCTTTTTAATAACTCGGTATCTAAAGCACCCAACCAAACTGATTACCTTTAGTGTATATCTATAATTTTAAAATTGTAATACAAATATATGATTACATTAACATTATTTTTCAAAAAATCTAAACATTACGATCTTTGAAAAAAAATGGTTTCCAAATATACTATTACCACCTAACCGAATTCATTACCTTTAGTACCTATATATCTAGAATTTTAAAATTGTAATACAAATAAGATGGTATTAACATTCTTATCTAAAAAAACATAAATATCACGAATTAGAAAAAAATGATTTCCAAACATAGACAAGAGATTATGATAAAATTTAAACTATTATTTTATATTTCTCTATAATTGAAAATAGGTCCAAAGATCCTTCTTGGACAAATGCATATTTTTACAGGTGGCAGTAGTAGCAATCGAATGACTGCAGCCATTAAAATGTTTTTAACTCAAAATTAACATTTTAAGCATATATTCGACATGATAATTTTTAACTTTCGAAAGAAAAAGATTGTTTATCTTAGTGAATCCATCTCACTAATTTTATATTTTCTCGACGTTTCAAGTCATTCTGATTCGCTTGAGGCCTAATTTATGAAAAGTGTGTGTGTGTATGTAAGCTGCAGACGTTTTCTCCAAAAACTTAAGTACCGATTTCAAAAACTTAAGTACTTCGATAAAACTTTATAAGATTATTCTTGCACAACAATTGGTCAAGCTGTATCTTTTCGTCTATGATGTAAAAGTTTTCGTCTATGTTTTAGTCCAATATCCTGAACCAATTTTAAAAATTGAAACACTGTTGGACAGATATCAGTTAAGAACCATACTTACTAGTTTTTGGTAAAGATAAGAAAGTGCCGTTTCTTCGTGATAATTGTTAAACTTTGCTTATTTATAAAGTGCATTCTCAAGTATATCAATTATTTTCATATATCGATCGGGAAGCTTTTGCAACTTGCATTAATGCAAAATGCAATGTGAAAAATGCTTTATTGGTGAAAAGTGAACTTAAAAGTCTTCCGCACCGGTAAGACTCATTATTTTTTTTATAAATCTCTAAATATAGCAATTTGAAGAAAAACAACAATCATATCATTCCTAGAACTGATATAAAAATCGGGAAATAATATTGAATCACTAGGAGAGTGAAAGAAAAACGTAAGTGATAAGAGTAGGGTTCTAAACTTGGTTTTCGTTCTCGATAATGATTTTTTTATTGTGATAGTAACATATTATATAAAATAATAATAAGTTGTCTTAAACCCTTTGGACTCGGATGCCGCCGATTTTCTCCGGCGGCAAAATTCATATAAATCTCGGAATTCGCGAGTGGAAAGGGTTAAAATCAACTAGCTTTTATATTGAAATTAGCTGTTCCAACAGTTGAATAAGGGATTCAAACATCAGACATGATCATTTGTATTACAACACCGTAATTTCGATTTTTTATGCCTAATTATCTTTTACAAAATCTAATATCACATTTTTGCACACTAATAATTAATTTGATATTTTTTGTGATATTAACATATATCAAATAATGTATAAGTTGTCTTAAAATCAACTAGCTCACAATTCCGTAATTTCTGATCGTACTTAAATCGAATTTACAATATCTAATATCATACTTAATATATTACAGGCATAAAATATAGTATATGACTTGTATGCAATTTCCATATATAATTGTTTTTGCGAATCTACTATGATAGGGGGCGTACATTAACCACGTGAAGTTTTTAGGGAAGGGGGGGGGGTTACAAAGAATCAAAGAAGATCACGTGGGGGAGAGAGAAATATGGTACTATATCACGTGTATTTATTTTTTACCACACTTTATTTAGAAAAATCCAAACATTTAAAAAAAATTAAAATGTTACAATTACACCACGTATCACCAAGAGGGATGGCTGTCCAAAAATCCATCGATCGTGTGATTAATGGATGCCCCTTTACGTTTGAAGCAGAAGAATTAACTTAACTTTAAACAAAATGATAATTTAAATATTGGTAATTAAAAATTGTTCGCTACAGAAAACTGTAGAATATTTTGGACATAGGGTACTTTCGTATACTTCGGATCTAGTATAAAGCTAACTCAATTGTCTTTTTAAAAAATTATTGATCGAAATGGTTCTTATTAATTATTTTTACTGAAGTATTTTCCAGACAAGGATACTACAATTTTAGTTAATTATTATGCTTCTGAGCAATTATCAGGAACTGGAACAAATTAAACAAAATATTTATTACATCCTCGCCCACGCACATTTGTTTTATAACCCCGTACGACCGCGTCGCACCTTAAGCTCTGCTTTATTCAATTAACACGCCGTGAGTTTGTGAAATGTTATTGTCTGACGTCACATCTCTCGAAAACACTCGAAAAACTTGAATTCACATTCAAATTTCTCAATTAACTTGTTTCTGTAGAATGTACGTTTAGCGTTATTATTTGTTTAATATGAACACATTTATTTTATTTCGAACGTAAAGACTATATGTTATAACAAATGAGATAAGCAAAGTTTATTACAAAAATTAATCACTGAATTTTAATTAAAATTTGTAGGAAATAATATTCATCATCATATTATTGCATAAAGCTGCAATGGAGTAGAAAGCGAAGAAAATACTTATAGTATATCTTTGGTACATAAAAAATAATATTCGACTTATAGAACTGTTAATGACAGGATTCGAAAACAAGATCCTGTGTGTCAATTATATGGTGAGTAAGTATGTAAAATAACAAAACAAAAATATATATCAAAAATATGCGTAACCAACTGAAACAAACTAGACAAAATTATAACACAACAATAGTCCAATAGAAGTTTTAACAAGAACTTTAGTGTACTAATGCATTTCATCAGAATCAAGTTGTCACAATACAATAATTGATGCAAAAGTCATCAAATAAGTCATCGGAATTAGCAAATAATTTAAATCAGACTGAAATAATAAACAATTTATAAGAATTTTGTGCTTAAAGCTTCTTTTAAGAAATAGATCTTCTAATTGCACAACAGTTTTAAACACTAGGTTGTACGCAGATTGTAAATTATATTAAATGTACAACAACAATTAAAATTGATTGAGAAATTGTTTAACGTAAAAAGCTTTTAAGATTCACACGAACTATAACTTTTACTTAATGAATTACAATTATTATTTTTTTATCAACTTAATACTTCCTTCTCGAACGAAGAGCTTTCTCAACAGCTTTCCAAAAGCAAAGTTTTATATCAGGATATACTCATATTGAATTTTTTATTAGTGACAAGAATAAAACTTCAATTAATCTTCAATTAAAGCTGAAGAATTTGTTAAATGTTAAAAGCTTTAAAAATGCGCCGTTTGAATCATAATTATTATTTTTTATTATCTCAATATTGCTTTTTCAAAAAGAGCTTTATCAATCATCTTTTCTCAAGTAATAAATCTCATATTTGCAGAATAAAAGCAAAATATTTTGAATATTAGTTGGTCTACAAATTTTTGCAACAAAAATAAAAATACAGTTAATCTTCCTCAAGAATTTGCTAAACTTTGAGAGCTTTAAGGTACACGGTTTGCATTACAATTTTTATGTGTTATTATCAATATTGCTTTTTCAAATAAAGAGCTTTATCAAATAGATTTTCTCAAGTAATAAATCTCATATTTGCAGAATGAAAGCATTTTTGCAATGAAAATAAAATTACAATTAATCTTGCTCGAGAATTTGATAAATGTTCAGAGCTTTTAAGGTGCACTGTTGGCATTAAAATTAATATTTGTTATTAATTGAATATAAATGAAGAGCTTTATACAACAGCTTTTCTCAGGTAGAATTGATCTCATATTTGCAAAATGAAATCAGTAAGGATGTATTGAGATTGCAAAATTTTTTTAAATGTAGCAAGCATGTAATTACAATTAATTTTTTAGTTTATGGCCCTTAAGGCACAATTATTAATTGTTATTAACTATTAATATAATATTGCTTTCATAAATGAAGAGCTTTATCAAGTAGCTATTCTCATGCAGAATATATCTCATATTATTTATATTTTGGAAGAATATAATAGCAAACGTCGTTTGCTATTATAAACAATTATTTATTTTATTAATTTAATATTCCCTCTAGCAAACGTCTACAATGTTCCTGCAATAAGCTCAAATACAGAAAATTGCCCTTACATGAGTACTATAGATTTTGTGAGCAATACAAATAATTATAGTTCGTATAATAGCACATATTTGCACTAAATTTTCAAAAAATTTGATAAATAATATATTATATTCAAAGATAATACATTGGTTTTGAAAAAATATATCTATGTAACTTTTCGTTTATTAAGTTCGATTCTCACTTTACTAAATAAAATCAATAGAACATAAAAAAAAATCCGATAAAATTCGATGCACTGCAATCTGTTCGATAGATAGTTCTTAATAAAAATAAACGAGACGTCGGATATATTTAATTAAGAATTTCCTACATATGAAAACGCACAATTTAAGAAAAATAATCTATAAATAATCTATTATAAATAAAATAAAATTTATTTTTCACTTACTTTGTGGCTATAGGCACTAACGTCCAGTCATATCCCTGAAGAACTTTCGCAACTGCATCATTTATTTCCGTTTTATCAATTTGAGTTTTCTTCTGTTCATCATTTCCAGCGGCATTTTTTCTGCTTTGCGTCAACTGCAAATGCAATTCGGCTTGATGTAAATGTTGAGACAACATTTTAAGAAACAGCAGCAGGTACAGTTCGGACACTTAAAATCGATTGATAAAAACACACAAAAATTAAAAATAATGTCCAATATTTTGTACGCACATGTAAAAAAGCACTGTTTAGAATTTATGAAGGCACTTGTTTGATCAGTTTCCACAACCCATAGTGAATTAATGATAAAGACGATTTTGAACGAATCAAATTATAAATGCAAAGAGGCACACGTCTTGACTTGTGGGAGAACTTTTGACGAATGTTGAAGCAAATGAAGAAGTCCTGTGCTTGAACGATCCGACTCACGTTTTCGTTTCTTTGTAGTGGTATGCAGATCAGATAGAGATAGAGCATGCAAGAGGGCGATATGTTTGTGTTGGGTATAATTTTAGATAACACCATATAAAAAATAATTTAAAGAAAATGAGAATTAAACTTTTTCATAGCATAAATGTATTTTGAAACTAGTGGGGTGCATGGCATCGTGTCTTAAGGAAAATTGCTGGTACTTCCCGTACCGTAATTAAAAATCTTGGTACGGAACCCAAAAAATTTACACTAAATGTGTACATATTAAAATTTCTAAAAAATATCTGATGATTTGATGTACATATATCCAATAAACATTTTTGACCGCCAAATGACATATTTTTATTTATATTTTTATTGAGAGTCCATAACCGCTGGATCTGCCTCTCCAAAAATTTAATCAGTTCTTCATCTTGTCAATACAAGTAAAATGTTTTTTGAATTATTAAAATCTGACACTCCGTTACACGGCTAGACCTGCCTTCGCCAGAAACTAATCATAATTTTTCAAATCGGTTTATCGGTCCGCACAAAAATTGTATCCGCACATGCACACACACATACACATATACATCCATTTTTTCTAAGGTATGACAAAATATTCAGAAACCTTTGAAAATTTTTTTGCGATTACTATAACTTACCTTACTATACACGAAGTTAACTAGTGGCGCATGGCATGGTGCCTTAAGCCAAATTGTTGAAACTTAACCCGTACCAGAATTAAATATTCGAGCAAAAAAATTAATAATAATATTTTAAAAAAGATTTATCTATAATTACTTTATATTTATTCGTTCATGTAATATACAGAGACGATCGTATAGCTCAAAACACTTAAAAATGTTTATATTAAGAAGAAATACCTAACGAATCCATCTGAGGGTATATTTTTTACGATTAGAATAACGCATATAAAATATATACATTTTTAAATTGAACTGTAAATTTAAAATTCATATTTCAAGTATTAAACTTTGCATATTTATCAAAATTTTGAAATTTGTTTGAACGGTATCAGTGAAACTAAAGATCTTGCTACGGAACCCAAAAAATTGTAATTAAATTAGTGCGCATGTTTACAATTTCTATAACATATCTAGCAATTTGATGTGCATATGTCTAATGATCATTTTTGACCGCCAAATATAATTTTTTTATACATTTTCCTCTGTATTTCCAAAACCGCTGGACCTGCCTCCTCAAAAATGTCATAAATTCTTCATTTCGTCAATAAAAGTAAAATGTTTTTTTGAATCATTCAAATCGGACGCTCGGTTCTCTCAAAAATAGAATTGCATTTTTTGACACTTTTTGCCCGGATCTTCGAACCGGCTGCACTTGCTTTTGCCATCTCCTCATCAATAGGAATCGAATGAGCCATAAATAAATTTTAGATTTTTAAAATCCGACGTGAGGTTTTTTATAACTTAAGGGTTTAGCAAATAATATTTAGAAAAAGAATAAAGTACACACATGTACGTCCTCATAATTAACTTCTGAGATTCTTAGAATATTTAATATTTTATATGATTCTCGTAAGATTCACGCAGCAATAATATGCTTAGTTAATTATTTATATCTAAATTAGTTAATAGCGATCATAAGTTTCCGTATTCTGATTATTTTATTCAATAAAGGTATAAAAATATGTGAAATAAATCTGAAATCTGGATTAAAAAACAATTGTGCATTTTTGGCTACATATAATAATTTTTTATGTGTAAAACTAAAAAATGTTGTATCTGAGAGCTTGAAGCATTAGCATTAGGAATATCATTAAGAAATAGTTAGTCATAAAATTAGTATTACGAAAAATAGATTAATACTAAATAGTTCGAACTGATAAAAAACTCGTTTTTTACACGAGGCAACTAAATAATTAAATTATATTCTATATAAAAGCATTTCATGGATTATGCAATCATTTTACGCAGTGAAGAAAAATAAAAGAAATTAATGATCTATTACGACTTTGCAAACCAAGTATGGTACTACCGAGCCTAAAAATTCTTTAGTTTATGCATTTTAGTATATCAATAGTTGAAAGAACATGCTACAAAACATTTATGCATATTTAAAATTCTAAATAGATATAAAATCGCGAGAACGTACAATTAATTTTCCAATTAGAAAAGCTTCAACATTAAATGGTACTTTTTAACATATATCTTAAAGCATATATGCTGTATATGAACAACAATTGTTGAAGTTTAAATTTCAATAACTTTCGCATAAACCTATGTTTATGCTGTGATATATTAAGATTATCTAATAAAAAAAGCTAAGTGTATGCGATATTTTGGCTTAAGGCAAGTTGCATGAACTTCCAGGCTGGTGTAAATAATAGACTCAAACAATAAAAAATAAGCAACATTTACAATTGTGGCAATAAAATTTTCAACCATTACTGCAAAAACACATGCTTAGTACAAATACGTTGTATCTTCCAATCGCGCGGCCCATTATTCGAAACTTTTTTGATTTTATATAATTAGCAAAAATATGCATACATACTTTTTTCAATTTTAGTATAGCTTAAAACGTCGAGTAGACATTAATTCATTAGCAAAACTGGATTTTCTAGTGAAAACAAAAACTTTTTCTTAATGTTAGAAAAAATATGTTATATAGTTAATTCATTAGATAATAAACTGAGAAATGCTGGGACTAAAAAAACATAATAGCATTCAGCTTTTAGCTAGAATTCGTATTTGTTCGACATTGATAATGCGGCGCTTATATGGCCCAAGCAAGTAAAAGCATACGATATTTATTATATTTAGTTCAATATTTTCAGCTCTTTCTAATGTTTTTATAAATATTCGTATTATAATAGGGTAAAGATGAGTTAATAATGAATAGTTTTATTCTCATTCAACATTAAATACTTGGATCAGTGTAAATACTAAGGGAAATGATTATTCTACAACACAAGTTAAGATGCTGATCAAATATTTTGATATAGTATTAATAGAAATAATTGTTATAAATATTAATAAGCCATTATATAAATATTTATAAACCAAAGACTAAAGCTTATCACAGTAAAAAAATACATCTAAAGTTTCAAAAATCGTTAAATAATACTTTTCATTGTCTAATGCTGATAAGTTGATTGGCAATCATTTTCATAAGATGATATAAAAAGTGTCGCTCAAAATAATCGAATTATCAATGCTAAGTGTTATGCTATCGATAATTGCGAAATTGATCAGTTTAAAATAAATAAATATATAGATTGCAACTGAAAGTTGACAGCATTCAAGCAAATTTATTGGCATAAATTAAACAAATGGTATCACGCTTCTCGGATATTCCAAATATTTATTCAATTCATATCTTGTCAATCATGGCCAACAAATACAGATATGCGCCTATAGAACAACTCATATTTGTTTATAATGTTTACAGTGGCGATTTTTATTATCTTCGCGTTGTTCCATTGAGGTCAAAAAGTTTTACAATTAGTGTTTCATTCCATCATAAACTACATTACAACGTGGCAACAATCGTTTGAGAATTAGCAACGTAGGTAATCGGTGCTGGAAACCGGGCAAATTTCCCAAAACGAGTTTATTTAGGTTTTGGAGGGCGCCTAAAGCGTAGATTCCTCTGGCCGTGATGTTGGGGCATCCGACCACTTCTAGATGTTTCAAACTGTTCCGTACGAAGACCAGCATCGGCATGCAGTCATCGTTCACGTGCACGCATCTTTATCAATTTCAGAGAATTTTAGATTTGAATGATTGATTTACTATTAATTATTATTGATTTTTAATCTAAATGTAAATGATGACGGACGGTAATCAATATGCAACTCTTTGATAAAAATATGTATGTGAGGATAGACATTTTGCAAGTAGAATCTCATGAATTGAAATATAACAAATAAAATACAGTCAACTTTTCCATAACGTGATTATCTGAAAATTCCCATATTACTTTCCTTTTATGAACTGAAATTGCAACAGCCCTATAACGCGGTACACATATAGCGCAGTTTCCGTTTAGGGGGCGTCTATTAATCACGTGAGGCTTAATGAGGGAAGGGGGTTTGACAAAAAATCACAAATTATGACGTAGATGGATGGGTCGTCTAGTAAGATATCACGTATATTTATTTTTTACCTGAATTTAAAAAAAAACAAAGTTTTTCAAAAATATTTGAAAAAAATACACGTGATGTTTGGTGAGGAGGGGAGGGTAATTTTAAATATCACCAAGGGAGAGCTCCAGAAAAGCGATCACGTGATTAATAGACGCCCCCTTAACACCGCATAAGTTTTTCCGTGCTTTCCGTCAAGACTCTGATAACTACATATTGTAAGAGTTTACTATAAATTTTATTATCAGCCCTTTCATCTTTTACAATATGTTTATATAAACACAACAACAGTTTTTTTAGTTTCATTATTTTATTATATCCATATATAAACCATTCCGGTTTTCATAGTACGCGCTGCCAATTAGAGGGTGTCCATTAATCACGTGAACATTTACTAAGGATTTTTGACCCCTAATCCCCCTTGGTAATACGAGGTGACCTTTAAAATAACCCCTCTACCCCACACAACACCAATTGTATTTTTAGTACCTAAAAAAAACGTAAATTTTTTTAATTATTTTAGAAAAATTGAGTTAAAAAATAAATACACATCATGATATCTTACTAGAACCCCACCCCTCCCCTACTTGATATATCGTGATTTTTTGTCAATCCCCACTCCCCATTTAAAGCTCAGGTGATTAATGAACGCCCCCTTAGCCTGGTTTGAATTGTTCAAACCGAATTTATTATAGCGCGATTTCCATATTACACGGTACATACTCACCGCACTATAGGACAGTTAACTGTACTTTATCAATTACTGAAAAACTGAACATATTACGAAGTTGAAAGAATTTTCAAAATCAAATCTTTCTAGTTCACAACTAGCAGAAATTTTACATTGGAAATATTTTTAACCCAAAACAATTTTCATATCCTTTGTGAGATTACATTGACTGTTATTGTAAAAGAAAACTGATTATAATTTCTTATTCGTTTTGCATTATTTATTTACTACTATAATTATATTTTTTAAAGAAGTAACTAAAATGAAAGCATTCAAAGTAAACGGTTAGAAAAATCGATTTCTAAGTGTAAACTAATTTTATCAATCATAAATAGAACAATTACTGGTATAGTTAACAACAATCTAGTATTGTTTAACAGTGTGCTCTAAATTATCTCTATTCAACACTGTATACATAAAAATACTTGTATCCAAAATTCATTGAATATCCATTGGCATATTTAGAGTAACTCTCAACTGAATGAGCTAATTTTCATAAAATATTCTTTAAAATATTTAGAACAATGTATATTGCGTTGTAAAATGTTTATATTGTTAGAAATGTTGGCAAAACTCTGAAAACGATTTTTTTATCAACTTTTAAACGCCATTTTCTATAAGATTTTGGAGCCTTTTAGTGCTTGTAAACAGACACAACTGATAAAAGGATATTTGAATTTACCAAAAATCAACAAAATAATTTCAGACTATGAGAGTTTCGCAGCCAATAGAATATTTGCAACCTATCTTCAATAACAATGGCGTCAATTGTGATTTATTAAATTTGAAATTCTAAAACAATCGGTTTATTTTCTATGGTATTTTTTGACAACTTTTCTCATGTCTTTGAAGTTCGTTATTTTTCCAATAGATATTAATTTCTATTTACTATATTACTAGAGACTATTAATTATTGAATTTCAAAATACCTTCGCATGATCATGGTTCTTAGTCTGGTAACTCCTCGCAGATGAAGAAATCCATATTGCATGATAGTAGTTCCACTGGCGTCAATTACATCGAGATATTTTCCTGCTGTGCCCATTCTTTGAAGTTTTGCATAACTCGATATTGTTTCCTTATTGTTGCCGTGCCAACGTACCGAACCTCCATTACGTAATATCCATTCTGCGCATACCTAAATTGGTAAATAAATGTTGAGAAATTGTGGAGATGATAAAAATTAATGGAATTGATTGAGTTCCGAAAATTTCGAAGAAAGCAAGTTAGGAAAATCTGCTTTTATAGCAAATCCACAATTCAAATGTACTAGATACAGGTACAACTCGCATGTAATTGGTATTCAGACTAACAATAAGTACAAAAACGCTGATAGAAGTAAAAATTGTACTTGCTACTGAATAATAAAATATCAAAAATATTAAAATATTTAAAAATACACATATATGATAGAGCGGGGCACATAGGTTCAACAACGAGTAATTATACTGCCTAAACCAAATGGTAGTTCATTTGCAACAGATAACACATGTCGTACACTATCGTACTATGTTCAGTATGTTCAGTAATCTTATCCCTATAATTCGTAATTATATAAATGTATCTTTTCATTTTTTTTTGTCAACTGTAAATCGGGCTAACAGATCCGTCTTATGTTTAATTTTAAAGGGATTTTACAAAATAGTAGCTAAAATATTCTACCAAGGCAAAAATATAAAATGTTGAAAAAAATTATATTACATAAAAAATCTGTTAAATCATTCTTAAAATTAACAGTAGAAGTTATAAAACAAATAAATAACGTATACTTAAAATTTATATTAAAGTCTCGTTAACTAAACAACAGTGCTCGCAACCAAAAAAAACTAACAAGGAAAGAAAATACTTTTGTTATGGATAGAAGAATAAGTTGATATAAAACGAGTAATCATTTTTATCCATATATTTGTGACACTTTTATAGCAAAGAAATATAAATGTACACAGGGCCGGTCCTAGAGTCCTCAGCACCTGAATGCCATTTTTTCCAGCGCCCCCCCTTATTATTTTAAATGTTTTAACAGTTTATCATTAAAATCATATAAACATTCACGTTATTTTTTTAAATACTTTTTAATAATTTTCGATATAATACAGTAAAAATCAAATATGATATAAAAGCGCATTGATTTTAAATATATGTAGAAAATCGAGGTGATTTGTGGGTGCACATAATTAAATTGTCTGACTTGTTTCGTTGTCGCACTACCGAACTGTATTTAAATTCTTATTTTCAATCCAAACTTTTTAGGACATCCAAAAATTTCAGTTCATTATTGCTTGCAAAAATATATATAAATTTTCAATTATTTCCAATGCATGTGTAATATTAATATTTGGGTTTTGAAAGATTTACTTATTTATTTATTTCGAATTTATGTGATTCTGCATTCTGCAAACCATAAAAAGGAAAAAAATTATAGCCTTTCATTATTAAACATAAAACTGGTACATCATGTTGGATTATTTTAATTCATTTTTTCATTATATAAAATATTCAAAATTACATCGTAAACTTCCCCTAATTGATATCTTAAAGGCAGATTTGAAATAACTATTAATTTCATTTGTACAATTGCTTTTTTAACTGAATTTACATTTTTATTTACAATTTTCTATAGTTTACGCCTGCGTCATGATGAAGGTTCAGTTGGTCATTTTACGCCACCGAATTGTATGTATGCATGTAATCAACTTTACTTTCCCATCGTGTATCAGATTGTTGTTTTAAAGTTAAATTTTTAACTTATACCTAGTAGACACGCCGCTGTGTATTGCTACTATCTTCTTGTTTATATTATATAATAATTATTGTTAGCAATCTCTGCTTAATGTTAATATGTTAATACAGATTGTAGAATAAATTAAATAAAAAAAATTAACTTATTTTAAAAATATTATCCAAAGATATTATCAAAAGATGCAAAGAAATTATATAATTCTTGAATGATATTGAAAAAAAAAATATATAAATTTCATATCCGAATCTCGTGATAGCGTCCCCTAAGAGGCTTGCGCCCGCATTTTTCGCATGCATCGCATTCAACGTAGGACAGGCCCTGAGTGTACATATATTTATACAGAAGTGAATTATAAATCAAATATGGTTTGAATCAATTTACTTAAATTTAGCGACATTTGTCACGTATAACAATTTTGTTCATGAGTTTTATACGAATAAAATAGCAATGCTATAGCTATACAAATAAATTATGATGATATAACCATTCTACTCACTCTTTCAGGGCCATATCTTCGCAGTCGTTGCCTGTCTACGGTATTAACTGCAATCTTGAGCAGATCGGTGTTTGGTGGAACGGCCGCCGTGTGTTTGTCATGATGGTACCGAGACTTCAGCAAACGTTTGCCGAAAGCCCCGATCGGGGTAATTGACATAACTAGAATATCCGATCAATGTGACCGATGACCGATCCGATTTTGTCACCGAAAGCATTGTGACAGCTAAAAATTATTATGCAACCAGCTTGCTTTGTGTTTGAATCTGTAAAATAAAAATACGTTTGATAATACTTGGATGGCATATGCGTTTATATTTATTTGCAGAAATTCAGAAGTCTGGTACTGATTTAGCAAGTAGTTTTCTCATTCATAATACGTCTAAGTTTTATTTATCACATAAAATTTATACTTATTAACCTGTAGTTATATCAAGTAACATACATTTACTCAGTTTTTCACCAGAATTCTAATTTTTATTTATCGTCTCTAATGTATTTAATAACATCCATTTGTATTGACTTAAGAAACATTGAGAATAATATTTAATAACGTTGAAAATAATATTTACTTGTTTTTGTTTATTATCATAGACGATAATTTTTATATATTTCATATATTTCGGATACACGATTACCTTGACTAAGGGAAAAAATTAACTTTAATGTACATGTAAATACATTTACTTGCAAAAATTCAGAAGTCTGGTGCCAATTTACCAATTAGTTTTCTCACTTATAATGCTTATATATTTAATTTATCGTATCAAATTCATACTTATTAATCTGTAGTTGTATCAGTAAACATACTTTTTACACAGTTTTTCACCAGAATTCTAATTTTTATTACTATTTCATTTCTAATTTATTTAATAACATCCATTTGTTCAATACAAATTAAGAAATAACATTAACATTGAAAATAATATTTACTTGTTTTGTTTATTATCATAGCCGATTCTGTCGTAAAATAGACCAATGTTATGGCAAGTGCTAATGTTATTAAAGGCAGTTTCTATATAAAGTTGAACTAAATATTCCCAAAATCCCATGTGGTTGTTGATAGGAGTTTTAGATAGAAAACCTAACCTAGAAAACGCACAAATAGCAACAAAAACGATATTATCAAAACATATGAGTGAAGTTGAATTTTATATGTAAAACGCCATATCGCACAGCAAATACATGGCATTTTGACAGTATTTAGTAGCATTTTGTATGAAAACTGGAACGTAACATAGCCTTACCACAACATTGGTCTATTATACGACAGAAACAGCCCTTTAATACACTTTTTTCATTTAAATAAATATTATTAGAAAAAATTGAACTTCTCCCTCGGAAAGTTAATTAAGAAGTTAATAAAAAAAAATCTGAATATTTATTTGACTTGGGCAACAATAATTTTGACATAATGGTAATAGAAAAAATCAAAATGGTACTTAATATTAAAGCACGCATCGTTAATTTAAAACAGAAATCGAATTAGGAACATATATATTATCTAAATCAAAAAATCTTTTTAAAATAAAAATAAAAGATATTATGGAAATCAATGCAGATTTATATAAAAAAAATCGTTAAGTAATATAATAAGTGCAAAAATATGAACCAGAATAAGTTTGAAATAATGCTTTTGTATTCTAATTTTTTTTTCAAAGTTATTAACTAATGTTTTGAGAATTAATGGAAAATATAAAAATTTAAATTAGTAAAGTTTTAATTCTAGATGGTGAATGAAGGAATGGGGTCTAAAAAAATTGGCAACGGACCATAACCATGATTTCAGCCCTGCAAATAATATGAATAAAAGAAAATATTAAGAATTTTGCAATCGTATGATAAAAAAAACAACTTTTTATATTCTCGTACTTTTTAGAAATAGTTACAATCGGAAATTGAGAAGTAGTTTATATTCAAGAAGAGTCTATATCAAGTAAATCGGTTGAGTAGAAGTTGAGAAATCGTATCGAAAAAAACAATTTCGAAAGTAATATGTAATTTCGAGTAAACGAGCTTTAAGTTTCACAAAGATAGAAAACAGAGGCGGATTATCGTGGTCAAGCAGCTAAATCTCCAAAAATATTTTATTTTGAAAAATCCTCTTCTACACAAATTCTTGAGTTGAAACTTTAAAAATACCAAAAGAACAAAATTGTCTTTTTTTTCTTGACCATAATACCTCTTTATAGTCCAGACATTATAGTAAGTTCATCTGGGAATTCGAAATCCACCTAGTTGTGGGTCTGTAAATACTTGCATTTTGCACCCTAAAAGTTGTCTCAAAACCTATATATGTAGCGTACACCTTACCATATGTAGGTTTTGAGACAACTTTTAGGGTGCAAAATACAAGTATTTACAGATTGTATCTCGAATTCCGAGATTCTTACCTAATTTAAGCTTAAATGACTAGACTTATTATACCTTAAAGGGATATTCCGGTCCGGTTTTCATATTAGACTCAATGCCGTTTTAGCTTTTTATTAGAGTTAATTTTTTTCATTAGTCAGCGTAACCTTGTATCCGAAATATATAAAATATATAAAAAATAATACAAGCAGAATGTCTAAGTTTTTCAGTTAAAAAATTTAAAAAAATCTTGATTGTTCATATTTATTCAATTGGATTTTCCAGAATTGTTCCAATATAATTTATACCGATTTACCAATCTTCAACAATTAGCGGCAGAGAAGACACTTTTTAGAAAAATGGGTTTCGACAATAATTTTTTTTAAATATTTTTAACAATATTTATTACAACTGCTAAATAAAATAACATGTAGTAATACTAATGAACAATAATATAAATATAAATAAAATAGAGTACAAAATAAAGGATAGTAAATTATTTCAATGAAAATTTAAATTTCTAAAAAGTGTCTTCTCTGCCTCTAACCCGTTCTTTTACGAAGCATCAATTATCATATGCTGGAACGTCGAGACCGTCGCGTCGCCGTAGAAAGTTTCCGGACGACGCTCCGCAGATTCACCGCAGCGCGGGGATCTGGACCCACGAAGAGGCGAGCCAACCGCGCTTCAATAATTAGCGCTCGCATGGGAGGGGCGATGTTGGAACACGCCATTGGCAACGAATGCCAATGTTTTACGTGCAGAAAATCCCTCCCGGAAACTCCCAATGAAGAATAACATAACTGTGATACCGCAAGCAAAAGTATTCGAAGAATTAACTATTTTATGAATAATATTTAAAAAATATTTGTGATATTTATGGATTTTGTATCATAGAATTTGTAAAGTTCGAGAATTTAGCAAATCCAGTAGTTGGAAAATGCAAGTTCAAAAATGGGAATATTCTATTTAATTGTAAGGGAATATTCTGTTTAAAGTTAAGTTCTCGTCAATAAAAAATACATTTTTAGTATTAAAAACTATGGAGCCGATTCTGCCGTAAAATAGACCGGTGTTATGGCAAGGCTATGTTATGTGGCAATATTCATATAAAGTGGTACTAAAAACTGTTCAAATCCTATGCGGTTGCTGTGCAATCAGGCGTTTTAGGTAGAAAACCTAACCTAGAAAACGCACAAATGTCAAAAAATCGATGTTATCATATCTGGATTTTTGAGATACGGCTCGATGACATATGAGTGAAGTTGCATTTTATGTGAAAACTCCAGATCGCACAGCAAATACATGTCATTTTGACAGTATATAGTATCATGTAATGTAAACTGTAACGTAACATAGCCTTACCATAACATTGGTCTATTTTGAGGCAGAATCGATCCATAAATCCTGTAAAACAACTCCTGAAATGTGAATGCTATATTAAAGTATCAAAACCGCACTGCAAGTGCATTTTTGAATTGCATTTTTCAACTATCAGAGCTTATTACAACCATTACTTATAAGACACACAACAATGCTTAAATAGCAACTCTAACAATAATTAAATATCAATCAGAAACAGAAAATTTAATTTTTGATTCTGACTTTTGAGAACTCCAGTAATAGTACTGGAGTTCTGTTTATGTAACATAGAGGTCACTCCAGTGAGTTATTCCATTTTACTGCATTAGGTCTAATGGATGTTTCTTCTGTAATCTTCTAACAGTTGATGGTTCTAATATGGGAATTGATATAGGGTTATTGTGGTTGATAATCTTATCGTGATGGATTTTACTTGTGTTTACAGCCTCCTGGATAATATCGATTCCCAGATCGTCATGATGTATTTGGTTAGGTACTAATATACCAATGTGCATTTGCAACACACCTCAGGAAATTTAAAATATTAAGATTCAGAAAAGATAGTTATTATGATAGATACTTCAAGATCTATACCAATTCCAAAGTTGACTTGGGAAAAGTTTATTAAATCAATAATAGAACACCACGTGACCCATTACAAACAATGTCCACAGATTAGTAAAATATAAATATGAACTTCATTACATTTTTAATCATTTTCGACGTGATATTTTCTATTAATTCACGGATATTATAACAGGATAGCATATCTAATCAACATTTCCTTGGCACGCGTGCTCGAGTTCCGGCCCATCATCGGTTTTTTTAAAACCGCAAAGTTGTGCTAACAAATAACACCTGGACATCAAATGCGCCGACGGGAGTATAAAAAAAACATCCGAAACATGCGGTCAAGCCATGTGAAAGCTCAATCAAAATAGAAAACAATTGGAAAAAATAGACAATAGTTTAAATCATTAGGCCTTAACGTTTTCTCTAGCTAAAGTAACAATAATCAATAATTGAATAAGCACTATTTTTTAAAATAATTAATAAATTTCACATTATTATTTTCAAATGTTAAGAAAATCACAAATCCGAACTAAGCAATTTGAAACAAATTCTGAATGTATTTACCACTTCGTGATTGAAATTGTAGAAATTGGTTTCAATAAAAAAATCTGTAATAATAAAAAGTAACATAGTGTTTTAAATTGAAATATTAGAATACTTATTTGTGGTGAAAATTTGTCTTGATACAAACCCCACAATGGATATGTTTGATATGATTTGACAAAATATCACGTGGGGGAGGCAGTGGTACAGTAAGATTTCATGTGTATTTATTTTTTACCTGATTTTTTTTTTAAAATTCAAACATTTTCAAAATAAACTCAAAAATTTTAAAAATTTTTCTTGTAACTAAAAAAACACAAATGTTATACA